ATTTGCTTTGAGTGTTTTTGTTTTATAGAAACATAACCTGTAAATATTCTTACTCTTTTAGAGTGGAACGCCATTGCAGTCAATTTTAGATACTTGGGATTCGGATATCAGTCAACCCACTTTGGTGTACTTGGGCGACGATAAAACAAATCCGTCGACATTTTTCATCATTTGTGACAAGTTGGCCCTTCCGCTGAATGCCAGTAATTCTACAGAGGCCATCGACTCTCTTTTTAAGGCTCATTATGTGATCGGGACAAAATACGACCAAAATTTGGATGGATTATGGAAGTTTATGCAAATTCACGTCTTCCAATTAGACATTCAAAACACAACTCTTCCGCGCAAAGCAAAACAAGTCCTCCAACAACTTTCAAGCCTTTCGGAAAGCAATTGACCAGTAATTTTAATAATATAAATTTCGGTAAAAATGTATTATTGTTCTGAGTGCAGAAATACGTTTACTCGGGTAGAAGATATTATTGTTCATACAAAATACATTCATAATATAGGTAGTGCAAATTTTAGGAAAAGCTTTTGCCCCTTCATAAATTGTTCCGTTCAACTTAGTTCTTGGAGTGGTTATCTTAGGCATTTAAAATCACACGATGTCTCGACCGCAATTAATGTTAGTGAAGTAATTAATGCGGTAGTTAGTCACGAAGCATTGGAATCTCTTCCGACGAATAATAATAATAAGTTGGATGAAGACGAAGTAGTAGAAGATATCTCAGTTGAACTAGGCATTCAAATTATGTCGGATATTTTAAGTAGCTTTTGTTCCTCACTTTTAGCAAAGGGTGTAACAAACACAACAGTAGATTTTGTAGTTCAGGAATTACAATTTAGTTTTACACAAGTAATTAGTTTAGTCCTAAAATTAGGGAAGAAGTTTTGTAAGGATGATTTTGAATTCTTCAGTTGTCAAACTAAAGGTTTAATGCAAGCTTTTGCCACAATTAAATCTTCATATCAAAGACAAAAAATGTTTGAGAAAACGGCCAGACCAATCTTACCCAGAGAACTGTCATTAGGTAGTAGAACTGAATTGAGAGTGAAAAATAACAAACGACAACAAGTAATTGTTCCCGATACATTCATGTATGTCCCATTGCTCAAAACTTTAGAATCCATTGTAAATTCCCCAAAATATTCAAAGTTTTTTATAAATTATAATTCCAATTCGCATGAGGTAAATGTTTACAAAAATTTTAGCGATTCTAAGTCCTTCAAAAATAATATTCTCTTCTCCAAATTTCCTAATTCGATTCAAATTCAATTATTCTACGATGACTTCGAAACAGTAAATCCATTGGGGTCGAAGCGTGGTGTACATAAAATTGGGGGAATTTATTTCACAATAAGAAACTTCCCGGACTATATAAATTCCAAATTAAGTCAAATTCATTTGTTGGCTCTTTTTTATACTGAAGATGCTAAAAAATATGGAATGAACGCTATTCTTAAATATTTAATTCCGGATATCAAGTTACTAGAAAGCAGTGGGATAAAAGTGAATGGGTCTGAAACAATTTACGGAACGATTTCTAGTTTATCTTGTGATAATTTGGGGATGAACTCTTTATTAGGTTTTTCAGAATCTTTTAACTCGCATTATTATTGTAGAATATGTTGCACGTCGAAGACGGAGGCACAAGAGGTGTTTGATCACAATTTGATGCACATTCGGAGTAGACCTGATTACGAACAACATTTGAGACAAAACAAATTTGGGGTTCAATCCGAATGTGCATTGAATGAGCTGCAATATTTCGATTTTTTAAATTCCCCATCAGTGGATATTATGCACGATTTATTAGAAGGGGTTGTGCCATTTGAGATCAAGATTGTGTTGCAAAAACTCATATCTTTAGGCTGCTTTAGCTTAGAAATTGTAAATCAGCGACTTATGGCCCATAACTATGGATATTTAGAATCCAAAAATCGACCAAATCCAATTCGCTTAGATAGCACCGGACACAAAATTGGTCAAAAGGCGGCACAGGCGTGGTGCTTAATAAGGCATTTACCAGTAATTCTGGCTGATCTAATCGTTAGTGAGGAAGGAAGTAAATATTGGGAGCTTATTATTCAACTTTTAGAAATAATGAGTCTAACGTTTTGTAGGAAATTTTCATCTTCTAGTTTACAAATTCTCGACCAGAAAGTAATGACACACCACAAATTGTTTCGTTTTTTGTTTCCACATGAACGACTAATTCCGAAACATCATTTCATGTGCCACTACTCTCATGTAATTAGACAAACTGGGCCATTAATATCTCTTTGGACAATGAGATATGAAGCAAAGCACAATTATTTTGCACAATTAGCTGCACATATTAAAAACTTCAGAAATATTTGTTACTCTCTAGCATTTAGGCATCAACAATACAGCGCATTTATGATGCAGTCCTCCGAATCAAGCGATAGTCTTAAAACTGATCATATATTTATTGTCAATCTTAGTAATTTTGTCGATTCATTCGATTTAATTGAGAGTTTAAGATTATTTGACTGTTATCAAAATTGTGACGGAGAAACACAAATCTATACAACCAACCAGATTTGGTATCGAGGGTATAATTATAAGACGGGGTTTGTAGTTTGTTATGAAATGGGTAACGTATTTCCAAAATTTGGAATTATTAATGAGTTTCTTTTGCCTAACGATAAAACTTGTTATTTGCTTCTTAAGGAACTAGATGTGGAGTATTTTGATCGCCATTATTTTGCGTTTAAAGTAAAACATAAAATTGATATATTCAAAGTTATTTCAATTACAGATTTAGTGGTTCATGACTGTTTTGAAATTCAAAGAAATTGTAGCAATGAATCGTTATATTTAGTTCTTAGACATCATTTATAATTTACACGAGTTGAATGTATATTACAAAATTTCGAGTTTTTAATTATATTGCATAATGTATTATTAATTCGAACATGTCATTGGTAAATTTAAGTTAGTACACTTTAATCGTTGTAAAATAATTAATTTTGTCATCAGTAAATAAATAAATAAATCCTCACTAAATAGTGTCAAATGTTAAGTGCAGGGGGTTATAAATTATTACCTCGAGAGTAACGAATCGATTCCAGATGAAGACAAAGTTGACAAAATTGGGTAATATTATATGTACCATTTAGTAATGAATAACACCAAGTGGTACTCACCTTCAACATAACTCAGGAATGTAACATAACTATTGGGTAAAAACTGATTACTGTGCGATGTTGAACGTGATTGCCTGGTTGCAGTTAAATTTTAACCGCATGGAGCTGAATCATCACTTTGTGGAATTTTTGTGAATCTTTACCACAATGTGCTGAAATCATTACCAACGCGGTAGAGTCATATATGCATTCCGCCTGGTAACGATCTGGTATCAATTTTTTTAAGAGTGCACATGTCAAGACGATAAACGGTTCCATGACAATGACAATATCGCTATAGATAACCACTAAACAGGCTTATCTTACTAATCAATTTCACTATACATACATATTTATTGTGCAACCACATTGAGCTGAGACAAATTTGAGATGACACAACTCGTATAAAATTTACCAAACAAAGGTAAAATTTGCTGAAGTTTAAGCGAAAATCCTAACACGTTGGATAAATCTTGCACAACATGTTGTGTCGTCTCAAATTTTAATCAATCTTGAGTAAATTTTAACCACATTTAATTAAGAGTGTAATTGCATGCGAAGCACCCCATTACCATGTAATTTATGTACAAATGAAAACCATATTTAAGGATCATATACATATATTCACAGATATTATATACATATGTGTATATAATCCATTTACAGTATATTTACTAAAAAAATCTATGCAAGTAGAATTTAGAAAAATGCTTTCCGTAAATCTAAATGTTTTGCAATGCTGGAATACGTACTCGGATTTACAGGAAGACATGCGGAACCGGATTTGCTTATTTAGCTTGGTTCAGGAGATAATCCACTACAAACTATCGAAATATTTGGTATCTCTGCGCGGTAATTCTGCGCGAAACACCTTCTCCCCTACCCGACTCCATGTTAAAAGAGGGAACAAAGCACTTTTGAACATTTGCGGATCTTATGGTACTGCCGAATCGTGCAAGGAATATGCACAAGCCCCGTTTCACTTGATTCTCTCATTTTTGGTACTACACAAACTTGGTGTTTTAAAAAAAATTAAAACTTATTTGCTATTTTTGCACACTAAATTTCTTCAAAAGCGATGTTTTTTCTAATTTTTTAAAACATCGAAGTTTTGTAGTACCAAAAATTAGCTTTACATTAAAATATGAAACGTCCCATTTATCTCAACACCAATGAAGTTGATGCCATTTTAGAAATTACATTTAAAGACATTGAACAAGGGTTGCGTGAGACTAAACACTCGATGGAAAAGAAATACTTTTACCCTCGGTGGACGAAGTTTCTGTTGCAGTTGGCGAATCCTTTTTTTGTTGTCCGTGGTTGAACTTGGACTGGTTTCAGGTGACGAAATGTTGGATTGAGGTCGAGGACTAGATACGGATGACGATGGGGAGCAAGGCGACTCGAAGCTTCCACTAATTTCCGACTGCGACACGTCCAACGACGGCGGTGACACGGCAATTGATGTTACTTCTTTTGGTAAAATAGGGATGAATTTAATACTGGGACTAGGTCGGATAATTTCACTGGGTGTAGAAGCTGTTAATAATTGCTCCTGCGACACAAAAAATCTTGATGGAAGGGCGGATGGTTTTAGTCTTCTTAGAATTGTTAAACTGATCATCCTTAAAATGTAGGTCGCAAATCATGGAGACGGGGGGAACATTTTGACAATCGAGATCCAAATACTCACACCACTTCTTGAATCTAAGCGATAGAAAATATTGCAACTTAATATTCTTTATTAGAATGCCAAAATTATTTTCCATTTAATTTATTAACACGCCTGACCTGTCTGGCTGGGATGGAAATTGATAAAACTGAGCTTCCGGATTTTTATTGTTCCGGTTTTGTTTTAGCACACCTTGGATATTTACAACAGGTTATTTTCAGTGTCCTTGGTGGTGGTGACCCCCACGGCTGGGTCACTTCATTTGAAGGCAGGGACACGTGGAGGCTGGAAAATATTAACCCAATGTATTTAATGTCTTAATTTTAAAAAAAATTGCTCAAGTAATGTTTACAGTACGTGTGCATGTGTGTTATATAATTTAATGTGCAAATAGATATGTGTACTTACCATGTACTGCCGAGGGGTACACTGTTTAATTGCAAGTAACTTTTTTAAATAATTAATTGAAGAAATTTAAGCTGGCTAAAAATCGATCGGACTGGAACTGTATTTTTCTTTGCCACGCAAAGGAAACCATGTGGTGGTGATTGAATTGCATCAGCTTTTTCTCATGCTGAAACTGCACACAGTTATTTGGCCGATCTGTTAAAGCCGCCCATTTGCAGGAAGAACAAAATAATATTAAGCTCCGCTGGTTGGCTGCTGAGCTCTTCCATAAGCTTCACTCAAATACATTGCATGAGTCGTTCCTCTTCCCCTAGTTTATTTCATATTCCATGCATTTGGCCCACCTGGGGGATGGCACCTCCGCATCATCATCATCACCACATCTCCTGGCATCAAAAAATGATGATGAAAGCACATAGGTGGCGGTGGCAGCCCCATTTGTGCACCAGAACACACCCTCGTAGAGCATCAAATTTGTGGAGACGCAGATCAGAATGATGCGGAGGTGCCATCCCCCAGGTGGGCCAAATGTACACCGAGTTATTTGGTTGGCTCTCCCCGTTCTTCCATAAGCGTCACTCGAATACATAAGATCGATTCTTCTGGTAGAATCTATATTCTGTGATATAAATACATACATAACAGCCGTCGTGATGTCCGGATGTAAACTTACTTTGTGTTCGCATGAAAAAATGCATGAAAAATTGAAGCCAGAGCCAAGCACGAGGACAAAGTTTCGTGGTGTACATTGCACATATGTACTTGAGGCGGGAGAAATTTCTCCCGATTTTGACCCGCATCGTTACACGTGTTTTGCTGGAGGAAGACAAAATAAAATATTTATTGACAAATTAAACTAGCTACTACTATTAAGTTAATGTTATTATTTGCAAGTTGTAATTTAATTTAAATTGCCCCTGCTGTGTAGAGTAGCCCATGCTGGAGGTAAGTTTGTCAAAAACCTGGAATTTTTAACACTTTAAAATTGTTCCCTGTCACATTACACATTATTTAAAGGAAGAAGATACCACGATGCCTACTTCCAGCCAAGATGACGCAACTATCGTCCAGGAAGAGCAGTTTCTTAATCCTGACGTAAAGTTTTCTCACTTGTATTTTTTTTACATTTTTCTCAGATAATTGGTCAAATTTGCAAACACCTCGCCACCCGGGACATAAAGACATGCCGACTTGTATCGTCCTCTTGGCACTACGGGTCCACCCCTGTTCTAAAATCCAGGACAAGAACAACCCTCGAACTTTCACCAATTTATGACGAGCATGGCGACCCGTCAGAAGGTTTGGAAGTTTCGGAGGTCTTGGAAAAGCTGAAATTCCGTCCTGCCAATATCTTCATAACAATTCCATACACCGAGGACGAAAATCTTGCTCCCCTCGATTACTCCAGATTTCCTCCAGTCAACAATTTTAAGTGAATTACTGTCCAGTTTCCGGTGTCCTTCTCCACTATCGAGAATCACTTCTATGATCAGAAGGAATTATGCACAAAACTGATCTTGTCGGCGGTCAAGTCGCTAGAAGAATTAAAATTGGATGGGACCGAGGAGGAAGACTGGGGGGAAGAGATTTCCCAAGATTTCCCCTCCCTGGGTGGCACCGTCTTCCCAAAACTGGTCAAGTTAGACGTCAATCATCGCCTTCATCCCGACGTTGCCATTACAAGATTTGGACAAGCTGTGACGACATCCTCTCCAAATCTGAAATATCTGTCGACAATGTGCGACAACATGGTGCAAATTTTAAGGGTGGAATTTTAAGGGTGGAACATTACCAAGTTGGCCACAGTAAGTTGAGGGGTTTACATAACATATTTTGCATACTTACGGCAACCTTTGCAAATTGAGTATGTATATCTAGCAACATATAACTTGCGAAGTTTTGTGGGATTTCGCAAAAATTTTGCTAGAAAAACAATCTTAAATTTAACAAGCATTTGGAAATCTTATGGAAAATCACAATTTTTCCGTTACGGACGTCTCACTGGGTGCTGGGGAATAATGAATTGTCTACATTGCTTTTATTCAGGTACATACTTATCTGATTTTATTTCAGATCCCTCACTTGCTTAGAGTTGAACGGAAATTTAACCACCGATGGAATGGAACATCTACTCAAAATTCCTGTCACTTTGAAAAAAACTTACTGTTGGGGGTTCATCCACTGACGTTGAAGAAACTACCCATCGCGTCGAGGAAGTTCCCACAATTTTGTACAAATTCCTAAAGAAACACGCCCCCACCTTGCAAGAACTTCGGGTCTACGTGAAATTCGTCACCAGTTGGCGCATGCTTACATGGAAATTTCCAATATTTCCAGCCTTGAAAAAACTTCACGTCGAGTATGGTGGCCTGGCAATAGTCGAGTTCGAGACCAACATTGCAGAATATTTTCGACCGATTGATTACGCCGTGGGTTTCCCAGTTTTGGAAGTCTTGCAAATTTTCGGTGAGTCTGTCAGGGGGGACTCATTCCTTCCTGATAATCGTCAAGTTGTCGAGTCTGTGAGGGAGGTTGATGTCAGAACTTTTAATCATGAGGAAATTACTGAAATGACAGAAATGGATACGGAGACCTTGTACGATATTAGAGGTCAGGCTGGGGTGTATGTCCGACTTTTGGATATTTTTCCTAATGCGAGAGATTGTGTTATGGCTTGTTTAAGGAAATTACTTGACATTCAGGAATAATTGGTGAAAGTACATATTAATAGTTCCAACATATGTTATCTCTTAAAATGATTGTGGGCGCAGGAATTGTAATTGTTTATTGATATTCAAATTATGGATTACCAAATGCGAATGAATTGCTAATATTTTCTCGTAAAATAAATATAAAAAAATGTGCTAAGTGGAGAAAATTGTGATCAGATTATTATTATTGTTAAGATATGCAATGCATATTATGCAACCAGTTTAATAGCATTTTTGTATTTTAAGCTCACAGGACCAGGGTATATTAGGAATAGACTGACGGCTTCGCGAGGATGCTTTTTGGAAGTGGGAAAACAACTTTTGAGCACTCATCCATGCCCACTCTCGTTCTGTTTTTTCTCCTCTTATTTCCTCAAGTCGAATAATTATACTAGAGAATTATTAAGTAGCTTTAGCTACTTTATGCGAAGACTTTGTCCGTCTGTCTGTCTGTCCGTCTGTCTGTCTGTCTGTCTGTCAGCAAGATATCTAAAGAACGGATCGAGATAATCGAAATCGGTTTTCGCCATCATACATAATACCCCAGGGGGAGGATCCTATCAACTTTTGGGGCCAACCGGACCACACCCCCGGGCGCCAGGGGGTGTGGTCGGGGCAAAATGAGATTTTTAGTGCAATTGAAGCTATGGATGAAATAGAGTGAAATTTTGTGTTCCCCTGTTGTGCCACATCCTCTGGGCGCCAGGGGGTGTGGTTGGGGCAAAATGAGATTTTTCCAAAAAATGCATCTATGGATAAAATAGAGTGAAATTTGTGTTCCCCTGTTGTGCCACACCCCCTGGACGCCAAGGGGTGTGGCCGGGCAAAATGAGATTTTTTCAAAAATTGAATCTATGGATGAAATACAGGCTGTATTATACAGCGAAATTAAGTATTCCCGCGATGTCGTGGGAGTGGTTGGGGTGACGTATTCTTAAGCTACTTCCTTATGTGCGTTTACGACGGTTTATTTATAAATTATAACAAATGTTCTAGAAAGCTTCGAAATTTTGTATAAAAATTATTTTTTGCCTCAGATTTTCATGAAAATGATTTTATACACTAATTAAACTATGCTGAACAAGAATATGAATGATTTTTTGAAAAACATTCAATAGTAAAAAAAAAAGTTATAAATTATTGAAATTTTGTATACAAATTTTTCTTTGATGGACGTTCCAGAGAATTTCAAGACTTTGTCTCACTTTCCCCCACTATAGGAATATTTTGTGATAAAATCAGATTTCGGGGTAAGATGATATTTCTAGTTTCCAGCTCTCCTAGGTAGCACTACTAGCTAGCTCTAGCTCTCCTTGATAGCACTATTAACTAGCTCTCCTAGGTAGCACTACTAACTAGCTCTCCTAGGTAGCACTACTAACTAGCTCTCCTAGGTAGCACTACTAACTAGCTTTCCTAGGTATCACAACTAGCTAGCACTAGTAGCTAGCACTCCTAGCTAGCTCTCCTAGGTAGCACGACTAGCTAGGGACAAAAGTCATTTTCATGAAAATCTAAGAGAAAAGTAGTTTTTATACAAAATTCCTAGAAATTTTATTTTTTGAAACCGTCGCGAAAAAAGGTATTTTTATGCATAGGGGACCTTAGGGTATTCACACAAAAAAATTCACCCAAATCCGAACTAGGACGCTATACTGCAATTTTACCATAATTTCTATACCAAATTTAAAAAATTTACAACTTTTGTTTTTCGAGACCGCCGCAAAAAAATTGAAAACTTATTTCCGCTATTTTGATTAAATTATAACCCATAAAATGAATGATTTTCGTTCAGATCATTTGTTGTGTTGTAATATGATGCACACTTTTCTGTGTGGACGTGCTCTGGTGTTAAGTGTTTGAAAGGGCGGTGCACCGCCTCTAGTTGAGGCAAATCGGGCTATCTATTTAACAAAGCAACATATCTCATCGTGTGTTTTAAGCTTTCATTAGTTAACGAAGCTACATAGGTAACCATAACGGAAATCATGAATTTGTGTCGTCGTCATCCAAGTTCATTTCACCACATCCACATTCATTTTATTCAAAAGTTCCCGTCTTCCATAGTTAAAAATATTTGTCGTAAATATATGTCGTCTTTGAAGACGACTATAAACCGCGACAAATTTCTCATTTCACTACCCGCTCAAAGTGGCTCAGACTTTTTACTTTCAGCCAGTTTCAGCCGACTTCTAATAATTCACACAAACTTCTTTTTTCTTCGTACAATATTTTTTGCACATATTTTGATAAGAACGGTAAGTAGTAAGTCGTCCTTATTCACAATTTTCTATTTCATTTGTTAAGTCACTCTCAATGTTGCGTGACCCTAAATGACCCTAATTATGAATAACAATCCAACTAAATATTTTGGTCCATTGTTAACTCTTCACTACACACTATTTATGTAATTAGTAATTACCATGTTTATGAATGTGTGATTAATTCATACCATTTCACATTTATTTTAGCATAAAATAAAAGTCGAGTATAGGACTCCAAATTCGACCAAGACAAATGCTCAGATGGATTCGGGTTTGAATTCACAGTCGCTATCGTCGCCGTCGTCGTCTAATTCTCCAAATTCAGGTAAATATTTTCTTTTCTTTTTTTGTCTTTATTAATTCTTAAATTATTGTTGAAGTCTTTATTGCATGAACGGATTTAATTTAATTAAACATTCATTCCAGGCCGGGAAGTCGAGACGATTGCAAATTTCGCCATGTCGACCGCCTTACTGAATCCGATCGTACGTTCGTCCGTCATCAGTCAGTGGCCGCGGAACCTGTGGGGACAGTAACATTTCATGATATCGGAGGGAGGGGTTTATATAATTAGCAAACGATAGGGACATCGCACAATGTACCTGTGTCCTCACACTTCCGCGGCCACTGTTTTTCATCACGATTGCACGTCAAACTTAATGTAAATATTACCATTTCTTCTGTCAGGCTCTGAACGCTATTTTCGCCCATCTCGGCCTCTCCGACTTGAAGACGGCCCGTCTCGTCTGCCGTGAATGGAGCGAAATTGGTGCCACCCTCTTAGGAAAACAGGGTCGTATCGAAAGTAACTCACTTTTCTGCTACCACACCTCGGATTTACACCTCATCACCCCCGTTCACCCCAAACTGATGGGGAACATCATCATCTCGAGTAGATTTGACGCCTCAATCCATTTTAAAAAGAGAGCTGCCGTCATCTCCAAGGTTTTCACCATCTTGTCCGAACAGAACACACGCGAAATTACGTTTATGTCGAGCGAGAAGAAATTTATCCCCGTCTTTCTAGAGGGGATGAAGACGCTGAAATCCACAAAAATCCAGACGATTAGAATCTTCCTTCCTCAACCCAATTTGGGCGAATGTGTCGATGAACGTCGAATTCAAGCGTGTGGAAAACTCCCCGTTCAACTTAGTTTGACCTCGCTCGAGTTCCAATCTTCTCCCGACCTTTGGCATGAGACCGGCCGAAGTGATGAATTTCAACCAGCCCTTCAAATTTTGATCGATTCTGCACCAAATTTGACCTCTTTGATCGTCGTGGCTCCATTCTACCCGAATTTGGAAGGGTGCACAAGTCTAAAAGTTCTGGAATTTCAATTCAAAATTTGTGATCATACTGCATGCGCTGATTTGAACTTGGGCGCAGTGATCAATATGCTGGCGCAGGTTAAGGATTCTTTAACCGTATTGAGGTTGTACACTGGAGGTGAACGTGTTTCCGTGTCTCAGGTAAAAATTAAACATGTACAAATAACGGGGTAAATTATTTATCATAAATATTTTTTTCGCAGGACAAGAATCTTAGCGTTCCCGTGTTATCAAAACTTACCTCAGTCTCCATCAATTTCGTAAAGGCGTACCTAATGGAAGGGTTTTTTGACGAAGAACACCTCCCAAAATTGAAACACCTCGATTTCAGCCACTTTCGATGCACTGCGACCGACCTGTCGAGCTATTTAAATCTATGGAAGCGACACCGAGGAGTTGAATCCCTATGGTTGCCACTTGGTCGGAGTTGTATGGAGAGCGGATTCGAATTTGGGCAAAAAATTGGAAAATTGTTCCCCACCGTTAAGAAGTTTGATTTCATGATGGAAATCCTGGACAATGTGAACCCCGCGGACGTCGAAAAGATGATTGAACCCTTGCAAAAGTGGGATCTTAAAGAGTCTCACGTTTTCGTGGAGTTTGTGGACACCAGCTTCTTAGGTCCAGTCCTTAAAAGTTTGTCAGCTTTGAAAGGTGTGACGAGACTTAATACGTATTAATAATTTTAATAGTAATGGTGAAAAATCTCGCTAAAAAGTATAATATTTTGGACAGGCGTCAAATCCGTCCGCTTCATGCACATAGAACACCAAGGCGTCTTTGCTCCCTGCGTTCCAGATATAATTCTGCACAGTAAAGGATTTAAGAGCGTGGAAATATGTGGGGTGCAGGTATGTGCGTATTAATCTGCATATATGAGAACTTGTTCTTAAATTTCCAATTACATAAATATGTAAATTCAGGACATTGAAGCTATGGAAGAAATGCGACCCATTTTGGAAGGCAGTGGTACACCCATTGATTTTACTCGGGGTTGGTGGTCCAACTAATTAATTAAGCAGGTGACAATCGATCGAAATTGACTAATTATTTTGTTCTTATCAATCCTAACATGTTCATTTTTACATTGTCAGGATAAAACATTTGTCAGTTGTTCCTAAATTTACAAAAATATACAGTAACAATTTTTCATGTTTCATGTTTCATGCACAATTTTTAAACACAATATGTAAATATGTATTTCCAACGGCAATATTATAAATTTCTGTAACTATGGCTTGAATAAATTGCAAATAATAAAAATAAACGAAATCTGGAAAGTATGATTCTCATTTTTCCCAAGTCATTGAAAACAGGAGTCAGCCCCGGAGATTTTCCTCGTTGGAACTTTTCACAATTTGCAATTTTGGAAATATGAAATATGAAACCTTTGAGTTTAAATTTGAACAATAAATTTTTACAAAACAAAAAACCAACTTTGAGATTTTTATAACTTTATAAAGTCCAAAAGGTTTCACTCGAATTTGCTTAACCATGTCAACTCCTCAAGCTTGTTTGTTTTGCCGTAAAATTGAGTGTCATTCAGGGTCAAAGTGCAGCTGCTCGGTTTACCTTCCGCCATTTTTAACTTATCTGAAAACTAGTAATGTCAAATATGAGGGTAATTTTCTCCGCGAGGATTTCCATTGCTGTCAAGAATGCGGCACTCGGCTGGAAAAGACTGCCAGACTGGTGCACAAATTGGAGCGAAAATTGCTTAAAATTTACACCATCACGTTCGAAAATTTGGGTAAAAACAAGCTAATCGAGGGGGAAGATGTTCTCGGGAAGTTGAGAAGACAGATTGTGGCTCGTAAGGCGTTAAAAAATACAGAATTAAGATTCAAATGGCTTCAAATTTAAGGAAGTTTTAAAATTATCGTTTTATTTTATAGGATTTGACCCTTCGCCCGCTTTCGACTCAATTTTTGAAGCACATCCACCTCAATTCGACCAAATGTCGGGTAAGTGTATTAAGGTGGACAACAAAATCTTACCAATTTCAAACCAGCATATGAAGATTTGTATTGTTTTGTAGTTTTACAAGTTTGTCACGTATTTTTGAAAACCTTACCAGGTTATAAACCTTATATTTTAATTTACACATGGTGGTTTTTTATGAAAATTTTTATAATTGAACTATTAAGAATTACAGTTAATTATTTTAATTACCACATTTCCATAGATGAATCCCAAATTGACGGAGCTCGAGTAAAAATTTCTGATGATGGAGACGACAATGACGACGACGTGGTAATAATGGATGAATTTAAAGCTGAAGAAATGGACCAAGAAGAAAGTGAAATCAATGCGTACGACGTATTGACCCTTGTCTATGGAGAGGAAAGCGATGTCCCGTTGCTCCGAAGTGACCACGAAGACGTTCCTCCCACCAAAAAGGAAACTTCGCCTACGCCCCCGTCGCCCAAACGAATTTTGTTCGAACAAACAGCAAATAAACGACGAAAGGTAATCTTGAATTTTCCAAAATTGGGTTTCCCAAATTTTGTTATGCCCCTAGTTTATTTATTCCCCTGCCCAAGGACAATCTTAACGACTAAATCGTATCTCTACAGGTTGACGTTACCCTTACAATCGAGAAGCAGGATACCAAACTAATAAACGTGGATGCATCAACTCCTCAAAATTCTGATTTTAATGTAAGTCAGAGATAGATAATTGACCTGAAAGGTGCGGCCAATTAATTACCTTATTAATATTTTCTCCAGGGCTCAAGATCTTCGGCTATGCCCCTACACCCGAAAGAGCACCACTTCCGCAGCAAATTCGCAGCAAGCCTTGCAATGTCACAGCGACACTATAATGTTAGTACGAGATAAATAATTGATTTGAAATTTGAGACTAATTACTTATTAATGATGTAACATTATTGTTATCTTATCAATATTTTCTCTAGGACCCAAAAACTTCCCACTCGAAGGAGAACCACTTTCGCTGCCATCAGTGTGGAAAGGAATGTAATTCTAGGGGCGCCTTAAGAAACCACATAAGCCTCCACAACGCCGACCCGAGGCCATTTAAATGTGATGAATGCGGTAAAGCTGTGAGACAGAAATCAAACCTGATAAAGCACAAAGAGATGGTTCACCTCAAGAGGAAGCCCATCACGTGCCCAGAGTGCGGCAAAAAGTTTGGACAAAAGTGTAACATGGTGTCGCACCTGAACGGCGTTCATTACAGGATCATGCACCCTTGCCTCTACTGCGAAAAATCATTTGCGAGTAAATCTGGTCTTACTCAGCATGTGAGAAAAAAGCACGGCCCTCAGAATCGCCCCGTTCTTGACCTGTTAACAGAGCCCAGCTTCTGACTAAATATGTAATTTTTTGATAAAAATGACTAAATCATTATTTTGGTATGTTTTCAAGTATGTATGAATTAATAATGTTATTGTTACAAGTTTATTCTTGGGTTTAGACATTTTAAGGACAAATTTATATGTTAAATAAATATTTATTTATAAGGATATATTTTTATTCGAATTATTTCGAATAATTTTAACGTTCCAAATATGCAGAAATTTTAGGAATGCATATGCTCAAAAATATTATTTGTTCAAATTCATTTCAAAATTTAAAAAAAAGAACTCGTTCATTGATTACTCATGTATTCCAAATTTGTGAAACAGGATTTACTATATTTATTCATTATTGATTAATTATCGTGTCCCCTCACAAATTAAGAAGTGTTCATTAATACGAACTGAATATTTATTTGATGTTCATTTATTCAAAAATATTCTTATTCATTCATTCAATTATTCATTTTTCTAAAGTATGAACCTATGTAGATATTGTTCCATGGTATGAACTCTGCCAAAGTGACTGACCATTTCACTAAAGGAGAAAAATCTCTTCCCGCAAAAGTAGCACTCATGTCGATTCGCTGAATTGTGTCGTTTCACGTGTCGCGCTAAATTAGACCTCACGTGACTTGTGTACTCGCACTTGTCGCAGGAACGGAAGAAATCCTTGTTCGGCGGATGCATAGTTTCCACGTGACATTTCAAATGACCCAACATGGTGAATCTCTTGTCGCACGAGGTACACGGATAATTCCTTTGATTTTCATGACAAACCAGAATGTGCTGTCTCAATGGAGGTTTCCAAGAAAATATTTATATGAGGACAAATGAGATAATTAAAGATTGCTCGGGAGACATTTTCAAGATGAGTTACCTGCAAAATAAACTGCATTAGTATATTTTTTACACCAGGGTTATGCTTGCGTAAAAATACATGCACGGAAAATCGGCCAAAAGTTTGAGTTTTTTTATAAATGCAATGCAATGAGGGTATTCATTATTTCTTCGGATCCTTAGTATTATTCGTATCGCAAAATGACTTACGACGGGTACGCAATTTTGTAAGCGTCATATTCACAAATGCGGTATTTGCCACTTGCCATACATATATACACACGTACATATGTATGAAAATGTCTCATGTGGTTTTTTGCATATGAAACTGCACTGAACGATGCTTATGTCATACGTACATATATTGACATGTCTAAAATTTATGCTGACAAGAGATGTATGGTGTATGGATGTGTGAATGTGTAACGTGAGGCTTCAATTTTGCATGCAAATCTGCATCGTTGAATTGAATGACGGTTCCCAATCAGAAGAGGTATGTTACAGCAACATTGCACCAACATATGAAACGTTGTACGAAAGTGAACGTGATATTTGGGTGACATTTTTTCCATTGCAGTTAATATAACTCAGTTAATATAACGTTCCTTAACTACGAAATTTCACAGTGCGCCCTAAAGTTTTAATCACGTTGGTACAACATTTATTACTGGAAAATTAACAGTGTGGTAGCATGAAATTGCCGACTGCAAGTAATGTGACTTTCACGTTGAACCAACGTTCCCTCAACGCAAATTGTCCCTTGCATACCGTCGCCATTCCAACCATGCCTTTACTTTCGATCGCCTGAGTTTTATTCCGATCATGACGGTGAAAAATTATCCCGTAGTTGAGTTTTCTACAGAAAATTCAATTACTGTGGATGTCATTCCATCGAATTAGTTGATTGGAAACACTAGTGTTAGTGGGCCTCTCGTTGCAATGCAAGAAATTTAAAGAAAATACGCTGTGACGGATTTCTCCCTCAGCCATTGTGAGGAAAGTCGGAAAGTGTGTATGTAGGATTCTAGGCGAACTTGGTAGGAATAAAATTGACTGGTGTTTCATACATTTTAATTTAAAGTTTTTGTTTTTGATATTTAAATACATTCAAAGCTGCTGTCGAAAGAGCCAGAAAAGCTGAAGACACCACCGAGCGGGAAAATAATCCAATTTTGCCAAACAAACGTGTTTCCAAGAAGAAACAAATTAATTCAGATCACGAGGACGACAAATGTTTGTCAATTTTGCGCACGCACGAGGTTGCTGCAACAGGTACAGTATTTACATAAATACGGGTCCTTATCATTTTCCAAGTATTATTTTGTAAATTATTATAATAATGCAGAAGGTACAAATGAATTTTCAACACGTTCCCAGTTCATTCTGAACAAAGTTTTCCTTGCGTAAGTTCGAAATTATCAATTTATGTAGTTAATCACTTATCTGTACGATGCCGGTTAATTTGTAAAAAGGATTTAAGTCTAAAACTTATATTATACTTCCCCTATCTGTAGAAAATGAGTATCTTTGCTTCCATTTTGTAGTGACGAGGGTGCATTGTATCTAATTATTATAGTAATAGTTTATGCATTTAGGCATAAGTTAATATTTTGATTCAATTGACATAATTATATATTTATGCACAAAAATTTTTAGTTGAGCGAGTAAATAAAATTGTAAAAATACTGAAAAGAGATTATAACGTTGATGCAAAGTTATTTTTCATTTGAATAACCATTCCAGCAACGTAGGTAGCACTTAGTGGGAACGTTGACGTCATGAATTGTATCGTGAGAGGAACGTTAATATACCGTTTGCCGTACGTTGTGTGCACGTTGGTGTCAACGTTGTTGACACTTTTTCATTAACGTTGTGTGCACACGCAACTTCCGGCCATCGAAATTGTTGAACAACGTTACAGTTCTAACAGTGCAGCCACCTAATTTTTCAAATATAATTATATTTATTTTGCCAGATGTTTGTGCAGACGGTCCATGCACCAGAAATGTGACCCATTTCCGAAGAACTTTTGCCCCATCTCGTCATAAACCTGATGCTATACTAATAATAGAAACATAGAAACTTAATATAACTAAAAATAAGACAGATTTCATGCGTATGTATGCTGACCACTCAAATCTTCAAAATGCTTTATGCACGGTCCCTGTGAAACCGGACCACAGTCAGTCATTAAAAACGAACCAAACGTTCAGTATAATAACCTTGATGTTTTTGCTTAAAACCCAAACCTGTCTGGACAGACAGTCTTTCAATTCATGTGCACACACAAATCATCTGTAATATTTATTCCAGTTGAACTCTGATTTGTTTACAAATTTTGAAAAAATTACATATTCCACACTTTCATAAAATGAGTTCCCAACAAGAAACTTATAAGCTGACATATTTAAGTCACCGTGGACTCGCGGAACCAATTCGGCAAATTTTTGCGTATGCCGGAGTCGCCTATATCGACGAGAGACTGACCCATGAAACGTTACCGGAACATAAATCACGTAAATTTAACTCTTATTTAATTTATAACAAAATATTGAGACGATGTGGGTGTCATTTTGTGAACATTATTTCATTTAAATAATCCATGTAAAAGCCGCATCACAAAAATCGCATGTGTGTAACCTTGCAAAATATACAAAAATGCAATTCACGCAGCCGAAACTTGTAAAATGCGTACGTTTACAAAAATACAAGGGCAAGTTTACAAAAAGTTTCGTTAGAAATGATTGTTCAAGTTGTAAAACTTTGTAACTTTACAGAATTTACACCATTTGCATACATGCGACGCGTGAATTACCTCATTAAATTTCCGATATAAATATGATGAACCTCTGCATAACTTTGTACATACAATACTTGATCAGGTCTCCCCTGGGGAACGCTACCCGTTTTGGAGGTGCGTCCTGGTAAAACGGAACCGTCCTTTGTGCTCGCACAGGTCGCCGCGATCGGAAGATTTCTCGCTAAAAAATTCGGACTTGACGCCAAAACTGAGGAAGATTCGGCCAAATATGACGAGTATGTGGACGCCTTGAAAGACTTTCAGCAAGGTAAATATATCCTTCGTTACGTCTTTTGCCAATTTCTTGAATTTTTTCAACGCCAATTTTACATTTTTTTTACTCTTACGTAAATTATGTCAAAATATTAATTAACTTCGAATTCCAGAGTTCGTCACCTGGTACCGTGCAACCGATGAGACGGTAAAATCTGCAGTCGTACAGGATATTAAGGAGAAACACGTCCCCTTGTTTTTTGGCAAGTTTGACGCCATTCTCGCCCGAAACGAGGCGGGTTGGTTGGTCGGCGACTCGCTGACTTGGGTCGACATCTTTGCCGCGAATCATCTCTACAACTTCGCCACGTTTTTGAGCTCTGGAGATAAAGATATTTTGCAAGAGTATCCACATGTGAGAAAATTAGCGGAGAGGGTTTTTGCACTGCATGGAATTGCAAAATGGATTAAGGAACGGCCTGTAACACAATTCTGAAATCTACGAATTATATACCTAGTATATTGAATTTTTTGGTTTTATTCGTTCGTAGTAAATGCAAAAATTTTGAGGAAAATGTGTCATACATAAATTCGCAAATATAGATTCTGCATTTCATTATTCTTCTTCCCTTACTGTGCAAAATTTGAATAAATTTAAATGCAATATACTTATCTTCTCGTTTATTGATTTATATCTTCTGAGGTAATATCACCACGACAATGTGATGCAAATATGTATATTTTTATTCCAAATTTGATGCCCTAAATTTTAAAATATTTATTTACTAATTTTTAACTGTATAAACGCGTGCAAAAAATAAAATAAATATAATTAAATATTTATTTATGAAAGGCTTGCCATACCTGCCTATTTCCACTTAAATCTGTACTTCCGAAGACAAAACGCGTAATTTTGTTCTTCGTTTTCCAATTTTGTAAGCTTCACCCAGCCTATATTTTTTTTAAAAGTAGAGATGCTCAGTATTTACATACAAAAGTGCGATTATACGATGCATGTACTCGTATGTATGTATACATATTTGTGAAAGCATCAGTTGCAAAATGCCATGTTGTGTATGTACTTGCTATAGGTTTGTATGTATGTACATACATACATATGTAGGTAAATATATACATATATATAGGTGTGGATCAACTTTTTTCAGGTACTGGTGACGTATGTAGAGCGCATCAAAATTTGAGATCGTACACTGTTAGAAATCCGGTATAGTCACGCAGGTATTGATTTCTCGGTATTAAAGTTGCTACCGCTTGGTATTAAATTTATAACCGTCCGTAAAAATTTGATACCAATATTGTAAAACTTTAATACCGGGTTACTACTACACGGTATTATTCAGCAATACCACGTGTAGAGTCATATACGAATACCACCTGGGATTATATTAATATTGGATTTCTATAAGAGTGTACTTAGACATTTTGATTTTACACTAATTCTTTATGGGGTGAAGTATTATGTATGTCATTTTTCGAAATTTCAATTTTTCGTAAAATTATCGCGAATTTTCAATTTTTATTTTTTTACGTTTTCTTTCAAATTAGGAATAAACCATTCATCAAAGAGAAAAATTTCCATATATTATTTTATTCGTATCTTCATTAAGACCCAATTCATAAATTCAATTTTTTCAATTTTTTTCGATTTAAACAATATTAATACAGTGAAAAATGCTGTTTTAATAGTCAATTTGCAGAAACACTTTCATTTCCCGAGGTAAAATTTCTGAAAATATGTAGAAATATGAAAAAAATCGATCTCGGAAAATGAAATCGTTTTTTAATTCAAATTTCCGAAATCGGAAAACTTGTAATAAGCTTTTATGTGGCGCATGTACGAAAAAACACAAAGTCACTTGGCAGAAAGTTAAGTGTCGTAAATCAACCAATTGATCCTTTAAGAAATGAAAGTAATCCAATTTTAATGAAACTTGAAATACATCCTTAAAATAATATTTATTCGTTTTGAAAAATTAATTTTTATTCCAAAAACGGGTTTGTGGGTGCACGAAAATACGCCACTGGGATAGTTAAGCTGCCTCAACACTACATGACTTTGAGTTTTGCAGAGCACATGAAAATAATTGATCCATGTGACTCACTAACGCGAGGTTTCCAGTTTGCATGCAAAATCTGCTAAATCATCGCCGGATAGTTGTTTTGTCTGCAGACAAAACCTCATGAGGTTTGCAAACTTCAGAAAAACGTTTCTGCTGACAAGGGTCCATGGGCAAGAAATGTGATAAATTTTTATCACCGTCTCGTCATAAACCTGATGCTATACTTATCATATCATACCCTGACCACTCAAATCTGAAACATGTTTTTCGCACGGCCCTCATAAAACATGACCACAATCAACAAAGTATGTTGTTAACCTTGAATTTATTTTGCTCAAACACTACATAAAGCATTCCCGTGTAGACTGTGCCATTCAGTCTTTCGGTCATTGTTCACCTGTAACCTTGTAATATTCCAGTTAAACTTGATTTCTTGGAAATTTTGAAAAATTGAATATTTCCACAATTTAAAATAAACATGACTTCCCAACAAGAAACTTATAAGCTGACCTACTTCAATTTCCGTGGACTCGCGGAACCAATTCGGTTAATGTTTGCGTACGCTGGAGTCGCCTATACGGACGATAGAGTCGCCCAGGATGACACTTGGCCGGCGAAAAAATCAAGTAAAATTTCAAAATTTACTCTTATTTGATTTAAATGCATATGTATATGTAAGTGTTTCATTTTGTGCACACAACACTATTTTTATGCGTGGGGGGGAATAAAAGTGAATAAAATCTATTGAAACGCAAAAAAGGAAAACATTCATGCACATAAATGCATGAAATGCAAGCCATGCATGGAATTTCATATTTTCAGGACATTTTATATTTTTCTAGCCAGTGAAATTAAGGCATGATTCATTCATGTACTAAACTTTGAATTATAATTCCACTAATTCAGGTCTCCCCTGGGGAACTCTGCCCGTTTTGGAGGTGCGTTCTGGTAAAACGGGACAGCCCTTCGTGCTCGCTCAGGCGGTCGCGATCGGAAGATTTCTCGCTAAAAAATTCGGACTTGATGCCAAAACTGAGGAAGATGCGGCCAAAGGTGACGAATATGTGGACGCCTTGAAAGACTTCCAGCTAGGTATTTACATATTTATGTCACTCGTTTTTAGCCCATTTCTTGGATTCCTTGCAAAAATTTGATTTTAAAAATAGTGCAGTAAGTGCACTTTTACAGTTCGGAAATTTTGCGCTTTTCCATTCTTGCACTATGAATTTTCTGATTTTGGGCACATGCCCATTTTGCCAAAGTATTGGGAAAATTCACGAAATCATTTGCAGCTTTGTTAACTTCGTAACTTTTGTAGAATAATTTTGCAAACTTTTACGAAATAAAAAGAAGTATTGGTCTGAGTTTGCAAAAATTTGCGATTTAGCTAATTTTCCATAGAAATGTTTGCGAAGTTTACGGAGTATACGGATTTTGCAAGGAATGCTTGCATTAAATATCTAGCTCACGGTCTGAATTTAATTTACAGAGTTCTTTGCCTGGTTCCGTGCGGCCGATGAGGAAGCAAAAGCCGCAGTCATACAGACGATTAAGGAAAAACATGCCCCCTCATATTTTGGCAAGTTTGAAGCCATTCTCGCCCGAAACAAGACGGGCTGGTTGGTCGGTGATTCGCTGACTTGGGTCGACATCTTCACTGCAAATCATCTCTCCAACTTCTTCAAATTTTTGAGTACCGAGGATAACGACATTTCGCAAGATTATCCACATTTGGTAAAATTGACGCAGAGGGTTTTCGCACTGAACGGAATTTCAAAATGGATCGAGAAACGACCTGTAACGCAGTTTTGAAATGTGCGAATTGCGATGTTGGATATTTTTTCGTTTCATTCTTATGTAAGAAATACAAAAGTTTTCATGTTCTGTGGGAAATTTGACATCGATAAATTGGCAAATACAAATTCTGCATTTCATGGTTCTCGCTAGCTTATTGTTCAAAATTCGAATAAATTGAAAAATACCATCTTCTCGTTTATTGATTGACATCTTCTGAGGTAATCTGATACAAATATGTACACTTTGTGCTTCCAAATTTGATGTCCTAAATTTTAAAACATTGCAAAAAATAAATAAAATTAAAACAATTAGATATTTATTTATGAAAGGCATAACAATGTTATTTCCATTTTTCCCCGAAGACAAAACGTGTAATTTTGTACCTCCTTGTTCAAGATCGTAAGCTTGATCCAGCCTATAATTTCCTAAAAAGCAGAGATGCTCAATATTTACAAAGGTGGGATTATATAATGTTTGTATATATATGTATGTACGAAAGCATCATTTGCAAAATGCAATATTTGGCAGACTGGCTATACATACACGTGTATGTATGAATGAGTAACATGAGTTTTCAATTTGCATGCAAATCTGCTTATGAAAATAAACCCTCCAAACGAATATAGATAAGTAGCGTCAGACCGATTCCAGTTTCCTTTAAAATTTCTCCATATATGACCAGAGGTCATAAGGTCAAAAATTTTAACGTCCTTGAAGTCGCGATCAAATTTCCTTTAAAATGACACCCCATATGACAATTAAATATCTTTTTGACCTGTGACCTCGTCCTCAAGGTCATGAGGTCAAAAATATTAACGTCCTTGAATTCGTGGTCAAATTTCCTTTAAAATGACACCCCATATGACAATTAAGTATCTTTTTGACCTGTGACCTTGACCTCAAGGTCATGAGGTCAAAAATATTAACGTCCTTGAATTCCTGGTCAAATTTCCTTTAAAATAACACCCCATATGACAATTAAGTATCTTTTTGACCTGCGACCTTGACCTCAAGGTTATGAGGTCAAAAATATTAACGTCCTTGAATTCCTGGTCAAATTTCCTTTAAAATTACACCCCATATGAAAATTAATGTTAAATTTAATTTGGACCACACCCCCTGGCGCTGTGGGGTGTGGTCCGATTGACCCCATCTTCGAACTCGACTGAGAACTAAAAATTAGAAGCACAATGGCGAAAACGGGGTTTGATTATGTTGACTCGTTCTGGAGATATCCTGCTTACGGTCAGACGGACAGACGGACAGACGGACGGACAAAACGATCACAATAAGTAGCTGACGCTACTTAATAATGGTTATGTTTTGTCTGACGTCTGTGCTGACAAAGATCCATGCGTAAGAAATGTGGTACAATTTCGGATAATTTTTATCACCATCTCGTCATAAAGCTGATGCTATGCTTATCCAAACCACAATGCTAATTTAACGTGGGACGATTATCCTATCCTGACCTATGTAAACCGTATTCAAATGTACATCATGCTATATGCATGGTCCCTGATAAAACCGACCACAATCAACATACGGATGTAGTTAACCTTGAGTTTTTGGCCCAAACACAAACTTATTCCCGTGTAGACTGTGCCATTCAGTGTTTCGATTAATGTGCAGTAACCTTGTAAAATTCCAGGTGAACTGATTTAAAAAATAATAAATACATTGAATATTTGCCCAATTTAAAAAATGAGTTCCCAACAAGAAACTTATAAGCTGACATATTTCAATTTCCGTGGACTTGCGGAACCGATTCGGTTAATGTTTGCGTATGCTGGGATCGCCTATACGGACGATAGAGTCGCCCAGGATGACACTTGGCCGGAGAAAAAATCAAGTAAAATTTCAAAATTTATTTTATCTTATTTTATTTATCAGTGTTTATTTCTGTGCGCATAATATTATTATGCGTTCATGGAGCATAAAAATGCATAGAAGCACGTAAAATGCATGAATAGGCATACGTACATATAACTGCATGAAATGAAATTTCATTATGTAAGGATCTTATTTACTGCATGTATTAAATACTTTGAAAAAATTTATATTTTCCTACTTTGTCAAATGAGGGCAACATTCACTTTTCTTATTTACACTTAAATAATTTTTATGCATGTTCAAGCATTGTCATGCAGTTAGTATTTGTTTGTGCAGATTTTGGTGGGTGTTATTAAACGATTAAAACCATTTGCGTGCACTATATAATTTCCGCCAGGTGTTTTTTAACCTATTTTTTTTAGCAAATTCACAGTGATTTATACATATATTGAGCATAATTCTTGCAACGTGTTGGTCACATTATTTTAGCGTTATTTTAGATATTCAAATATTCCATGCAAGATTTGTATTCGTATCATTCAACTCATAAAAAATATTTTGAACAAAAAAATACATTATTTTGTAATTTGACAAGGAAAGTTATATTTATAGCTTAACTTTATAATTTTAACATACGTAGTAAGTTTATAAAGTTGAGCACATCTGCACATGAGCACATGTGCGTTTTAAGTTAAAATTTCTCATGAAAATTTGGCCGATACTGGATAGCTATAACAAAAACTATTTAATTCCCGACATTATTGTGTGAATCTGTGCAATTTGTACCACATTTTGTCAGGTCTCCCGTGGGGTACGCTCCCCGTTCTGGAGGTGCGTCCTGGTAAAACGGGGGATTCCTTCGTGCTCGCTCAGGCCGCCGCGATTGGAAGATTTCTCGCTAAAAAATTCGGACTAGATGCCAAAACTGAGGAAGATGTGGCCAAATGTGACGAGTATGTGGACGCCTTGAAAGACTTTCAGCTAGGTATTAACATTTTTAAATAAGCTTTTAATCCAGTTTTTAAATTTCTTGCAAAATTTTTCATGCAAGAATCGTGCAAAAAATCGTGCATTTCGTGTACTCCTACACTGTGCACCCTTACGCTGTGTATATGTACAATTGCACTTCTGCCATTTTGTGATTTTTCATTTTTGCACTGTGAATTTTTTCATTTTGGATAATATGCAAATTCTTCCAGAATATTAGGGCAATTCACGCAGTCATTTGCAACTTTGTTAACTTCGTAACGTTTGTAGAATAATTTTGCAAATTTTTACAAAATAAAAATACTTCTTGGTCTTAGGAAGCTTGCAAAAATTTGTTTCCCATAGAAATGTTGGCAAAAATTTGGAAGCTAATTTCCCATGGAAATATTCGCAAAAATTTGTACGCACATTTCCTATAGAAATTTTGTAAGTTTACGGAATCTACGGTTTTACAGTGTTACATAGGGCTAATTGAATTATTTTAATTGTCTCATTACTTAACTGACGGTCTGAATTTCATTTACGTACTTTACAGAGTTCGTCACCTGGTTCCGTGCAACCGACGCTACAGCAAAATCGGTAAAAATTCTGGAAATTAAGGAAAAACATGCCCCCTCATATTTTGGAAAGTTTGAAGCTATTCTCGACCGAAACAAGACGGGTTGGCTGGTCGGCGACTCATTGACGTGGGTCGACATCTACGCCGCGAATCATCTCTCAAACTTCGCCAACTTTTTGAGCTCTGATGATAAAGATATTTTGCAAGAGGCTTATCCAAATTTGGGAAGCTTTGTGAAGAAGGTTTTCGCACTGAATGGAATTGCAAAATGGATCAAGGAACGACCTGAAACACCTTTTTAAAATGTACCCGTCCACGAATTGCATACACATATAAATACAATATTGAACATTTTTTTTAATTGGATGCTTACATAATTAATATATGCAAAAATTATCTCATTACGTGGAAACTTTGTCATTAATAGGAAATACATAATATGTAGTTCAATTAGATGTATATTACATACACATTAACACATTGTGCTTGCATTTCGTATGTACATAGCGTTTGCTGTGCAATTAAAATTTAAATAAATTAAATCGCATGGAATTCTGATCGTTTATTCATTTACATCTGCTGAGGTTTATATGGTTCTGGTAATTTCACTTTGGGAGTATTATGCAAATACATATCTTCAAGTTTACATATGCTGCCAAATTGGATGCCCAAAATTATAAAACATTTATTTATTCATGACTTTATTAATTAACGCGTGCAAAAAATTAACCGACTGAATTATCTCCCATATCCTCCCCCACCGCCAAATCCTCCCTTGTCGAAACCACCTCCACCCCCGCCAAAGTTGCCCCCACCATATCCTCCCTGGCCTCCAAAGCCGCCACCGCCAAATCCTTTTTGATCATAGCCCCCGCCACTACCGCCGAATCCACCTCCCCCAAACCCGCCACCTTTACCTCCTCCAGCGTATCCACCTTGTCCGCCGAAACCCCCGCCGCCAAAGCCTTTCTGGTCGTAACCACCGCCTCCGCCGAATCCTTTACCCCCACTGTAACCACCCCCACCAATGGGAAATCCACCACCACCCCCGTATCCTAAAGATTCATGATAAAGTCAAAATTAATAAGACGGGCCTTGAGTATTGGGCATGTTTACTTAGGGCAAAATCATACTTCGAATCACGACATACATGAGTACCCCCAATGTTAAATACATATTAAATTTTCTGGTTGTTTCAGCTTACCTGCACCGCCTCCACCCCATCCTTGTCGTTTCACCCTCTCTGTAAAAATCATACAATTCGTAAACCAGGAATTGTTTCTTTATACATAAGCTTTGTAAACTGTGGACAAGTTTAATGAAGGAGAAGACTGGAAAGTTTTTTAGCCTTGTAACACTGTAGACCCTAAATACGCAAACAATTTTAAAAGAAACAAAGAAAATCTGGTCAAACATTTTGAACGCATTTATGTTTTCAAGCAGTTTTATGAATGCATACATAAAACAGAGTAAATTGTCTTAACTATTGCAATTTAGTTTTAATAAATTTAAATCTCGACAGTTTGCAAAATTGGGGATGAAATTAGGAAATTTTTCCAGGTATTTAGAAGTACAACCATTTTCATAAGTAATTATCCAAATTTTGAAACATTGTGACGAAAGAAATCAAAGATAAAAAAAATTAGATCATATGAATACAAGTGTGTGGACAAGGGTATCCAAACTCAATAGAGAACTAAAAAAAGTTAATAATTTTAATTTATGTGGATTAAATTGCAATTTTTCTTTCTAATTGTGGGCGGTTTCAGGTATTTCTTCTCGGGGCGAGTGTTGCTGTTATTTAAATTATTATCATGATTTTTTTATCCTTGTAACATTACATGTACTTAAAATGTGGCAATTTCTATGCATCATGTAAAACATAGACCGAAATTTTGAGACATTTTAGCAAAAACATATTTTAAAAAGATTTCTCCAAATATTTCAATTTCTCATTTTGAATTTTATGCAGTTTACACAGTTTACACAAAATTGGAATATTTATTATCACTCACCTAGATATCTTCCCTCTCCCGACGAACTACTCAGATCCTGAGCATGTCCCACAATTATGCAACTTATCACAACTCCTACAAAAATCGTCTTCATTTTAATCTTTATTCTTTACTTCTAAATAATTTCGCACAGAATTTGCAACTGATCCCGTCTCCATCGTTATGTCGTCCTTTTATATCAAAATCATCTCCAGGCATGTCAATCCACGCTTTAATCTCGTCTACTTCGCAGTAAAACTTTCTGCCCAGTCATCCCCATCGGAGACCGTGTAGAAAGAATGTGGTCGGTTTTTGTGAGAACATGAACCATTTTAACAATGGAGTGACCAATATCGGACAGGAAATTATCACTCCAACAGCCACCCATCCAGTTGATTACATTATTTATGCACGGTCCCCCTTTCTGGACAGAATTTAATCAGAAAGCTTTACAAATAATGGTATTCTTGGCAAAAAAAACTTTCACAATGCACACCTGGGTAAAACCATATCTGAATGGGCTGCGGAATTTTGGGGACATCGGGGGTAATACTTTCCTAGAAATGAAGAAGCAATTCACGCAGTCACTGGTAACTTGGAAAAACCATACGTTTCGTACAATAATTTTATAAAATAAAGAGATGCCCTTGATCTGAGTAAGTTTCCAAAAATTTGTAAGCTAGTTTTCTTTAGAAATATTTGTAAAATTTTGTATTTGTAAGTTTACATGATTTACGGATTTTACAAAGTTACCAAGGATTGCTTGGATTGGATTTTCATATTCTTGTAAAGTGCTTATGTAACTCGTCCCTTTTCTAAATATTATTTTCTCCACGGTTCCCAAGTTCTGCTACCAATTTAGCTTACTTTGTTTTGCAAATCCTGCCCGGAGTACCATTCGAACTCTTAAAAAACGAAATGGCAAAAGAAATGAAATGAAGTGATGGGCAGGTTCATTGTTCAGGATGTAGCGATTCGCCACTAGCGAAGGTGACATGGAAACCATTGCATCATTAAGTTCGGAATAGAATGACGCAGCAGTTTTGTTTCAATGGAATTTATCTTTTCTTCCAGAACGTGATCCATTCTTTGCGAAATTAACCGTGCAATATTTTCCAGGAGACGTAATGTGTTACGAAGTACAAAAAGCAGAAGAGGTACAAATTTTTATATAATGTGAGAAGGAAAATTACAGCATTTACTGCCGTACGTGTTTTTTTTGTGGTGCTTCAATGAGAATAGAAACTTATTAATGAGGAGATGATGCTATGAATTCTCTAGTATTGCAAAAACAATATATTTACAGGATGGTTTAAATCAGTGCTTCTGCTGTTAAATAACACCTGCACGAAAATAGTGCACGAAAATGTTTTTAAACGTTTAATAACACCCACTAAAAATCAGGGTTGGCCAAGATACTTTTTTTCGAAGATACAAGATACAAGATAAAAAATATTTGAACGAAACCTTAAGATACAAGATACTAAATACAAATAATTAGAGTTACACAAGATACAAGATACAAGATAAATTTTATCTGCTGTGATCCCAGATACAAGATACAAGATATTTATTTGAAATAATTTTTTGAAGATACAAGATACTTTATTCGGAGCTTGCAAAAAAAAACATGAAATAACGAAGCACCACTTGATTTTTTGTATTGTAGCCGAGTAACTTGTTAATAAGGATAGTATAGACTCATAACTTGCATTATAATTTATAATGCAAGTCCTCACCCTCTGTTTATAATTTATAAAGAAATGAGGATTTCCAAAATTTGATATTTATGTGGTGACCTATACTGATTTTTTTCAAATTATTCTATCGAGCTGAAATTGTTATTACCAGTATACTCCGTTGAAATTAGGAATAATTGTTCTAATGGTGGTACAAATTAGGAATATAATGCAAATTACAAAATTTGCCAACGTGCGAGGGTTTATTTACTGTGGATAAATAAATATAACGACGTTATACAACAGAACCTTGCGTCCGGCTCGGCAAAGCTGTACACTGAGGTTTTCAAATCTTCATAATTCCAAGTTTTAATACTACCAAATATGCAAGTTTCCCGGTTTTTCACTAAAAAATTTATCTTGTATCTTGACTAGTATTTCAAATAAAATTTGATCGAAATAAATTCTCCAGATACAAGATACAAGATACAAAATACTTTTGCGAAACGTTCAGATACAAGATAAAAGATAAGATAAACTCCGTTACACAAGATACAAGATAAAGATATATCTTGTATCTTGTATCTGATATCTTGTATCTTGTTAAATTATCTTGGCCAACCCTGCTAAAAATCCGAAAAAGTGCATGAAAATGCACGAAAATGCACGAATATAATTTACATGCAAATAGTATTGGAATAATGAAATTTTTCTAAATATTCGATTAACTGAGGAATCGACGTGCTATTTAAGATATTTTTCTCGTCATTTTAGTATTTTAGTGAACAAATATTTTTTATTTTTCAATTCGAAAAATGAATTAAAATTTTGAAAATGAAAATGAATGAACATGACGATTTTTATGTACGGTTGAATACGGGCTTGCAAAACAAATGCTTGTAATTTGTTTGAAATTTTCTTAATAATTTTCTTAATAATTAAGAATAATAATTTCATGTTATTCGATATGTGTACAAATTCCAATTTGACAGGGTAGGAAAATATAAAATTTCTTGAAAATATGAAATTCCCTGCATAAGTTGCATTTCATGTATTATTATGCATTTTCGTGCATTTTTATCCGTTTTTATGCATTTTTGAGCATTTTTATGCACCGTGCATGCATATAAATAATTTTGTGCGCACAAAAAGAAACACTGGTTTAAATGTCTCTCAAAGGGAAAAGTTGTCCCTTTGGAAAGGGAAAATATTTGCAAATATTTACAATCGCTTATAGAAATTGGGGTACTTTTTGCGTTTATAAATTACATAATGAGTACATGACATGTTTATTATTTATTTTCTAACACATTAATACGTTGTTGTATATATATTTACATACGTATACATACACACACAGAAACATAAAGAATGTCCACTAACGTCGCGGACTAACGGAATAAAATGCTCAGAACTTTATACAGTTAATGCAATTTCAAAAAAGTTGCATATGCTTACTACCAAAGGGTTTGGATTGCAATACAGTTAAAATTTTAATGATTCAATTCCGCTATCTGCTACAGATTGCATTTTCTTCTTCAGATTTCGCATCAAATTCCGCCCATAGACTGCTCCTACTTTCAAGCTGATTTTCTTCCATCTGTTCTTAAATTTTCGTAAGGTCTCTGGCGTTTCTGAAAGCTTAGAATATTTGGATTTAGTCTGCGCTCAGAATTTCTCAATTGGTCGCAGTTGAGGAAAATTTGGTGGGTTTCCATTTTTTTGGGAATTGGTTTTTCTTTTGGACTTTGTCTTCATGTTTAACTTCACAGGGGTTGGAACTATGGAAAAAATGCCTTCCTGGAAGATTTGAAGTGTCAGCTGTGACGTGAGGCTCATCGTCCATGATGACCACTTTTCCCCAATTCTTCTTCAACAATTTCTTCCAGCACGCATGAATTCTTTCCTGTTGTGTTGGTTTGTATTTTGGTGCTGGTTTTCTTGCCCTGGCTATAATCCATAGTTTATGGACTTTGATTTTGCTCAGATAGCTTTTTGAAATCTCGACTTTACTTGCCGCGGCAGCCGTTGTCGTTGATGGATGATTTTTGAAGATTTTTTTATCCGATTTTTGACTTTTGTCGTTTCTAGCTTTACAGGTCGACCAGTGGTGACTTTGAATTTGAGTTCATTGGATTCCTCGTACTTTTTTATGTCAGAGTTGACATTTGAATGAGGAATACCTTCTTGCTTGAAAAAGTGCCAAGTGATTTTAGAATCATAGTTTGTTCGATTTTTGTGAAACTCAATTACTCTTTTTCCAACTCTTGCCTTTCAACCAAAGTATTTCTAGGCTTAGCCATGACTCAATAATTTGTGACATATATCAATGGAAAGCTTATAACATGGTCTATTCAAAAATTATTTTTTCGAAATTTAATTTCGCTCTTTTCCCGCCTACCGCGCCCTTTACGGGGGAGTCCGCGACGATAGTGGACCCTCTATACATAAGTATGCATAGAAAAGTTTTGTTGGTGATCACAAATGCAGCACGCACAGAACTAGTATGAAAAACATTTCTAAATACTGAATTCAAGTACTCATCTCGCCCTTCACACAGTAAAAAGAACATAATATTTAGTTAGATACCTCAAACCTAAATACATGTACATAAATATTTTCGTTTGAACATCATGCATTACTTGTTAATGGTTGGATTTTCTTCACATACATAAGTATTTTTAGGACAGCTGAAAATTTTGCATTTCGGTTTTTTGCTAAGTAATGTCAGCAGTGGATTATGTAGCATAAAGACTGATTATGATAATTTTCTGTAAAGTCAATTTTACATAAAGCTGCAAAATGTTAAATTTATGTTATTGTGCGCAATTTAATGTCTTTTTATTTGGCTAATTATCATTGCATTACACAAATTACACATCAGAAAAGCTGACTAACAAAGGAGTCGTACATTAAAAATCCCTAGCCTGAATAAAAATCGTAGAAATCATAAAAAAGTTATTGTGCTTAATTTAAACTACACATCCACAACCGTAACCATCCTTCAATATTTAACCTTAATCTTTAATTCTTCATTTAAGTAACAATTTAAAAAAAAAGTTTAAAAGTCCCTCCTTTAAAAGATGTTAGTATTCTTAACTTATCAAATTATGAGTTTGATTTACGAAGATCATAAAAAAATAATTGAGCAATCCATTCTGCCCAACTACTCGTAGAATTCGTGTCCAGGGTTGTCTCAAATAGGCAGTCTTCCTGCATAACCGGTGACTCTAATTGTAATAGCTTGCCCCGACAATTGCGCAAGTTGATATTAACCGCATATTTTTCCACGAGAATCTTGTCACTGCAATTGACATTAGCCAGCGTTACATTTTCGCCATACACAAGGATCTTGCTGCACGTACAATCTGTGGCGGTAAATTTGTTTGACTGAATTACCAAATCCCAATCATTTTCACCAGAGTTCGAAGAAACTAGATCATTTATACGGTTCGAATGACCAGATGAGCTAAACATGACACCGCAAAAGCGGTGGGTATGAATTGTTTTAGAAAAACGA